AAGAAAGGAAGGAATAAGGGAGAGGGAAAGAAAGAATAAGGGAGAGACGGAAGGAAGGAATCAGGGAAGGAAGGAAGGAAGGAATAAGGGAGAGGGAAAGAATAAGGGAGAGAGACGGAAGGAACAAGGGAAGGAAGGAAGGAATAAGGGAGAGAGAAGGGAGGAAGGAATAAGGGAAGAAAGGAAGGAATAAGGGAGATGGAAGGAAGGAATAAGGGAAGGAAGGAATAAGGGGGAGGAAGGAAAGAATAAGGGAAAGAGAAGAAAGGAAGGAATAAGGGAGAGAGAAGGAAGGGAGGAAGGGTAGACGGATGGACTGAAGGTGGCCATGGAAGATGAAAGGAGTTATTTCCTCCAATCGGAGAAGAGAGGGCGTGGCTGGGACAGAGCATGAGCGAATGGACAGCTGGAGCGGAGGGGCGGGAGGAAGACAGACAGCGGTTGGAGAAAAGGAAGGGAAAGCTGCTCTTCCATTGGTCGGTTGCCTAGCACCGCGACTGAGGCGGCCTGGGTCTCGCGAGACGTCCCGCAGCGCGCGAAATCCGCACGGGAGGCGCTGGGTCCGCCGTCCTGGGATGGCGATGAGGAAAGGCGGCGGTGGCGGCGGCGGCTGGAGGCGCCGGCGGGCGGCGGAGCCCCCGGCAGAAGACGGCGAGAGGGAGACCCCTCGGTGAGGAAGGCCCCCCTCCTAGCCGGGGCTCGGAAACAGGCAGTCCTCTAACTTACGACCACCGTTTCTGTTGCTAAGGGAGCTCGCCCCCATTTTCCGACTTCTCTCGCACAGTTGTTAAGTGAATCACTGCGGTTGCTAAATTAGCAGCACAGCGGTTAAGCGAATCCAGCTTTCCCCATTGAATTTGCTTGCTGGAAGGTCGCAAAAGGGGATCTCGTGGGTACTGCAACCGTCATAAGTATGAGTCAGTTTCCAGGTGTCTGAATTTATGATCCCCTGACCCTGGGGATGGAGCCATGGTCGTTAAGTGTGAAAAACAATGGTCTTGAATCACTTTCCCCGGGTTGCTGTTGTAACTTCGAACGGTCACTAAACAGATCAAGCCGAGGGCTGCCTGGATTCCTTTCAACTTGCACTGATTTCAAATAGGTTGTTAACTGTGGTTCAAGACACTTTGTGTGATTGTGCTGCTTTCCCTGAATACAGGTATAGGTATAGATAGTCCTCGACTTTCAACAGTCCATTTAGTGGCCACTCAAAGTTACAATGGCACTGAAAAAAGTGAGCTATGACCGTTTTCCATCCTTACGACCGTCGCAGCATCCTGTGGTCACATGATTTACAAGTGCTTGGCAACTGACTCGTATTTATGACCTTCACAGTGTCCCTGGGGAGTCGTGATCCCATTTTGGGACCTTCTGCCAAGCGAAGTCAAGAGGGAAACCGGATTCACTTAACAGCCGTGTTACTAATTGAAGAGCTGCCACGATTCTCTTAACAACACTGGCGAGAAAAGTTTGTAAAATGGGACAAAAGTCACTTAGAACGAATTTCTCACTTAACAACAGAAATGTTGGGCTTGATTGTGGTCATAAGTTGAGGAATGCCTGTATATCCTGTCTTAGCTACCTAGTGATTTGCCCCCCCAAAAGACCTTTTTCAGGGTTAGGGCATTGGCTTCTCTGAGACTTAAACAAATTGGGTCAAAATTTGTTTGCAGGAATTGGGTATGTCTAGTTTAAAGAAAAGAAGGCCTAGAGGAGACATGACAGCAGTCTTCCAGTATCTCAGGGGCTGCCCCAAAGAAGAGGGAGTCAAGCTATTCTGCAAAGCACCTGAAAGGCAGGACAAGAAGCAATGGGTGGAAACTAATCGGGGAGAAACGCAACCTGGAACTAAGAAGACATTTCCCAACACTGAGAACAATTAACCAGTGGAACAGCTTGCCACCAGAAATCATGGGCGCTCCATCACGGGAGGTTTTTAAGAAGAGACTGGATAGTCACTTGTCTGAGATGGTGTAGGATTTCTTTCCTAAGCAGGGGGTTAGACTAGAAGACCTCCAAGGTCCCTTCCAACTCTGTTATTCCATTCTGTTTCCTTCCTATTTTCCTTTTCTTGCCACAGGGATGAAGGCTCCTCCGTTTCAGCGCTTCGGCGTTTAGAGCGCAGCCAGTGGACGGACAAAATTGATGCGCTGTTTGGATTTGAGCGAATGAAGGAGCCCGCGGAAAGGACGGGGTGGTTGATCAACATGCACCCGGTAGGAACCTCCTTCTTTCCCTTCATTTATTTATTATGATTGTGATTTGTGACCTTCCCAGCCAGTTGCCAACAAAAACCATCAGTTGGATTCACTTCAGCGTGGTGGTTCGCTTAATGACTGCGGTAAAAGTGCAAGACATTGAGCTGATAGAATAGTATGTTAGGAGAACGTGATTTTCTAATGAAATGGCTTTAGTAACCTTGTTATTTTTAGACAGAGATTTTGGATGAAGATAAACGCTTGGTCAGTGCTGTGGATTATTATTTCATTCAGGAGGACGGAAGTAGATTCAAGGTCAGTAGTGTCTTTAAACTGGGACCTTTTAAAGGGGACTTTTATCCATGGGTACATTTTAAAAGTACTGCTTGGAATTTGGAGGAAGGTTAGATATGCGATGAATGGGATTGTAGAGCATACATGTTAATACATAATAATACATAACGCAGGTTGTTTCTTGGACTATATTGTCTGGAAGTTATACTGTGTCTCACCTAGAGCCACAGGCAACTTTATGACTCCAGTTAATCAAAATACAATCACCTATAAAAATCTGTGTGAATCGATCTTTCTGACTTCTCTTGTTGCTTTATCATTCACTAAACACTTTGCTATCTTCAGTGCAAAAATGCCTCCCATTTTATAGATGGACAATTGGCCTCAGAAGTGTAGCTTAGGTTAAACTGGTAAGAAAGAAACATGACCTATTTGTCAAACATTGGAGACTCACATTGTTCACTTTGTTCTCTCTCCTAGGTGGCTTTGCCCTATAAACCATATTTCTACATTGCAGCCCAAAAGGTTAGTCTAATCTGCAGATGCAACCCAGGATGCCTTAAGCTGTTTGGACTTCGGTCCACTGTAATATCACTCTTTTGAGTAGACATTGCACAAATACTTCATGTGTGACCGTACCTTAGAAGTAGTAAATTGTAAGTAAGAAATTATTCCTTAATGATTATGGTATATGCTAGTGCCTTATACACTGAGAAATTTGTGTGTTTATACACACATAATACAGTGCGTGCATGTGTGTATGAAGGCTTCAAGAATATATTAACAATGACAAACAGCCTTTTTCTGAAAGTTTGCTGGCCCTCAATTGCAGCTGGGTGACGTCTGTGCTTTAATGGTATCTTACTTCAATGAAACGATAGCTAGAAAAGATCAGCTCATCATTCCTTTGTCCTTTGCAGATGTACAGAAAATTTCTTATAAGCTCTTCTGCTCAGGTAGAATTTGAATGGTTGTAAAAATAAGTTCTCCTTAAGCCATTTAATATAAAATGTCTTTTTTTTAGAGTTGTGATCGAGAAGTATCATCCTTCCTTTCTAAGAAATTCCAGGGGAAAATAGCAAAATTGGAAATTGTCCCCAAAGAGGATCTGGACTTGGTGAGAAATGGATTCAATAAGTTTTATTTTAATGTTGTGGAAGCTTTACCTAAAGTTTTAGCGGGATAAGCCTGGCCTATTTTGTTTTCGTTATATTTTTGAGGGACGTGAAGAGGAAATGAGAATGTTCCTGAGAAACTTACTATTGTTCCTATGTCCCATTCTTGCGCTACTTTCCTCCACCACTCTGTCCAGTGCAGGGGTCCCCAAAGACTTGTGGACTTCAACTCCCAGAGTCCCATCACTTGCCGAGGAATTCTGGGAGTTGAAGTCCACAAGTTTGCCAAGTTTGGAGACCTCTGGTCTGATGGGTCTACAGCAAACACTGTTTTTTGTATGCAGTGAAGATCAGAACTCTGTTTTTGGCTTCTGCAGTTAAGATACCAAGAATCCGGTGGCAGATATTGGCATAAGACTTTTGCCACAGAGTTAAGAGAATTGTTCCTAGTTAACAACAAGAATGAGGATGGGCTGTGACCTGTATGAGCGTAACAAAATAGTAACATTCTACGCTTTTGATCCCATGTTGCTTTTATTACACTGTGTCTCTAGCTCTGTTAATTTGATATCGTAGTCATAATAGAACTAAATTTAAATATCCATCGAAACTAAAGGCACACAGGTTTATGACTTAACAGTCATTAAAAACAAGCAGGAAGTGGAATCCTTTGCCAGGGCTGAAGAGATTGGACAAATTCACAGAAGATCAAACTAAGCAGCTGTGAGATGGCTCGTTCCTTCTTCCAGAATCACAGATAGCATGTCTTTCCAACAAGCTCCCATAGTTTATCCTAGAGATTAATGGCTGCTATTGAATTCAGAGTATTTTTGTTTGGCTGTCAGACAGGGCTGCAATGATTTCCAAAACACAAAAGTTGCCCTACGCTGATTTGGTTCAGCTACTGTATTTTTAAAAGCATTCTTCTGTACTCCACATGGTGGTCTTAATTGCTTTGATCGCATGCTCCATGCATCTCTACGAATCAATTTCTCAAAAGTTTGAGCCTGGTCTTTTCTTTTCTTTTAGCCCAATCACTTGGTTGGCCTGAAACGAAGTTATATCAAGCTTTCTTTCAACACCGTGGATGACCTGATCAAAGTCCGCAGGGAGATTACCCCTGCGGTCAAGAAAAATAGAGAACGGGACCAAGCTTTGGACACTTACACCACCTTGCTGACTAGGTAGGATAGTCCAACAATAGTCCAAGCGCATAGCGCTTATAAGCAGCATCCAGAATAACAGGAAGCTCACTTCCTGTTATCTTCTCGGTTGTCCTCACCACTCTCTATATGGGCTTTCTATCTGAGGCACTGCTGCCACCAAACCAAGCAGGCAGTCAGTTTGTTAAGATGCTCTCAACCCCTCTCAGTTGGAGGGAAAATCCTTGGGGAAACATCCTTTAAAATCAAAGCATCTGTGCATTGCAGTTGGATATAAAGATGAGTCACGGTTTCTGTTCTGTGTTGCAGCCACTCTTTGCCTGTTCTCAGCATACAAGGAAGTAAAACAAACTGGTTGTTGTTGTTGTTTTCTAGCGCTCTCACTGGGCACAGCCTGAACCATGAGGAGGAGCCCTCAAAGAAGACCGCAGACCAGATGGACAACATCATAGACATGCGGGAATATGACGTGCCCTACCACATCCGTCTGTCCATCGATCTGAAGATTAACGTGGTAAGCGTGTGATCTGCCCTCTGACGTAATCCCCGGTGACCAGGATCACAGGAGGCGCAATATTAAACTCCTAATTTCTACCTCATCTTAACCCTGTTGGGTCCTCTTATCCTTTAACAGGCTCTCTGGTACAACATTCACCACAGGGGCAGCAGTTTTCCTCCTGAGATTATTCGACGGGATGACATGGTAGAGCGACCTGTGAGTATCTCTGCAGGGGCTCCCCAGAAACCTCTCTAAAATCCCTAGGGCCTAGACTTTGAAATATAGCTGTCAGGGCTCCGGCATCCACGCCCATTTAAATCACAACTCTCTAGCCGCATCTCTCAGAGTTGTAAAAGAAGATTTATTAGGAGTGAACATGCCGGCGCTACCTGGGTGCAGCCGACTCTGAGACACATCACTCATTTCACCCTTGACCCTGGTCTTCCCCAACCCCCTCGATGTATATTCTCCAATGGGACACATCCATAGCCAAGAATCATCAATCATGCTATCCAGTAATAATCTTGCGCGCCAGAAGCTTCGGCCACCTAGCAATTATCTAGGGAATGCACTACTTCCCCCCAGTCCCTTTCTGCTGGCAACGCTAAAAGACCAGAGAAATATTTTTGAGTTGACATTCGGCTCCCCTCACTTCTTGAAGGTGACCCGTGCAACCTTGTTACAAGGCAATCGGCTTGGAGGTTCCTACTCCTTACCCAAGATGCCTCTGATAAGGGGTAGCCCTTCCACTTGATTAAATATGTCTCCTGTGCCACCACAATTCCCTGCTCCTCATCATGGGTTTGCCCCCCTCGCCCCCCCCGACCACGGATATAATATTTTTGAGTTGAGAATGATGGCCTTGTTGGCGTGGAATGAGCATTTTCTCCAACCCCTGACTTTTTGCCCCTTTTTCCTTCTAGGACCCTGTGGTTCTTGCCTTTGACATCGAGACTACGAAACTCCCTTTAAAATTTCCCGATGCAGAAACAGACCAGATCATGATGATCTCCTACATGATTGATGGCCAGGTGATTTGTGGCCCTTGTAATTTACTCATGAGATTGCAAAAAGTGCCGTTTACTTGAGCAGCTCCAGAGATCTCTAGGGTGGCCCAGCAGCAAAGGATGCAAGCATGAAGCCAGTTGTGTCATTCCGTATTTGTCAAAGGAAGTTTGCAAACTGCACTGCAGAAGAAAGATGCTTACAAGGCGACTGGAGATGCGCTTGTGCATAGCGTACCTTTAAAACCCCGTTCTCTTACATGGCTCAGGATTTGGTCCAGTATAACAACTGGAATCCTATAGAAAAGAATAAGAATGAGACTGCTACTAACTCGGCTCTGAAAGAAGTAGTGAATCGGGGAGAGGAATTGCAGACTTTTCTGGCCAGAAAGGTTGGAAATTTGGAGTGGGAGTCTCGAGTCTTGCGGTTGCTTTCTTTGATCAGCTGATTCCGTTCTTCCCTTTTCCTCAGGTTCAGTTCACAGAAGCCCAGCTTCCTTCCTTCCTTCCTTCCTCCCTCCCTCCCTCCCTCCCTCCCTCCCTCCCTCCCTCCCTCCCTTCCTTCCTTCCTTCCTTCCTTCCACAACTTCTGGTCTGCGTCCCACTACGGGGCCTTGAGATGTTTGCATGCGTATGCTGTACAAAGGAATGCGGCTATGCGCACTTGTCTTCGCTTGCCAGCCACTCGTGCAAAACCATCCCCAGGGTGTCTTTTTTTCAAGAGGCAATCGGACCTTTCTGGTTTTTCCTTTGAAGAGGTTTCACTTCTCCGAGAAGCTTCTTCAGTTCTCGGTTCAGTTCTTCTTCAGAGCTGAAGAAGCTTCTCGGAAGAGAAGCGAAACCTCTTCAAAGAAAAACCAGAAAGTCCAGTTGCCTTCTGAAAAAAAAAAACCCACCTTTGAGACAACCATGACCTGGATGATGGAGAATCTCCATAGACATTCCCACCTCCCACTGGTCTTTTTGGGGGGGGAATTCTGATTTAGATGGTGATGCACACGTTGGATGAGGAAAGCGTGAAGGGGTGCCAGACTCCGGCGTTGCACCGTTCCAAATCAATTATCTCGAGAGGATGAGCTGGCTGATGCGACATTCTGTGGCATCTCTTCCTCTGTGTGTGTTTCAGGGATACTTGATCACAAACCGGGAGATTGTTTCGGAAGACATAGAAGATTTCGAATTTACTCCCAAACCCGAGTATGAGGGCCCGTTCTGTGTATTCAACGAACCTGATGAGGTGAGCTTTCTTTTTCCTCTTCTCATCCTTACATCTGTCAATTAAATGGCTACTTAACTACACAAGTCAGTTTTTGATGAAATATCATTAGTTGAATATGTACATGCACTTTAGATAGATTGATAGATAAATAGATGATAGATAGAAGATAGATGACAGATAGATATGTAGAAAGTAGGTAGGTAGATAGATAGATAGATGAGATGATACATGACAGATAGATAGGTAGATGACAAATAGATGATAGATAGATGACATACAGACAGATGGATAGATAACAGACAGATAGATCGACAGAATCACCCACCAAGCCCAGAAATATTCAGGCATGGTTGTTTGCAGAGGCTTGTGAATTATAAGTCTCTAAATGACACACTTTGTTTTCTTTTTTAAAAAATCAGGCTCATCTTATCCAGAGATGGTTTGAACATGTTCAAGAAACCAAGCCAACTATCATGGTGACATACAACGGAGACTTCTTTGACTGGTGAGAATCAGATCTTATGAAGTCTGCTCTCTACACGGTCAGGTGTGGAGATAAACTTATCCCAAGTAATCCTTGGGTCCATGGAAAGAAACAGTCTCTAAAAGCCCCGTGGAATCTAGCCTGCGAGCTCACCCCTCCTTGTTGACTTAAAAGGGCCTCATCCTTACTCAAGAGAAACAAAGGTGCACGTTGAATGTTTAAATAATAATAATCTTGAGGATGGAAAGGACACCCAAAATATGTCCACTTAACCTGGAATGCTTACGGAAGTGGAATGTCGTGGAATTTTGGGAATTGAACATGAAGGCGTCAAAGGAGCAGGGGCGTCAAACTTGATTTCATTGAGGGCCACATCAGGGCTGTGGTTGACCTTGGAGGGCCGGTGGGGGGGGCGTGGCCAGCTTCACATCACTCGTGTCGGGGGGGGGCACCTGTGATGACCAAGTGCTAAGGCGGGACTTCCCTGAGACCCTCCCTCACTCTCATAATCCTTCCTTCCCTTCCTTCCTTTTCTTCCCTCTTCATTCTCCTTCCCCTCTTTCCTTATTTTTCCTTCCTTGCTCTCTTCCCACCTTCCCTTCTTTTTCTTTGCCCTTCCTCTTTCCCTTCCTCCTTTCCAGTCCCTTCTTGCATGCTCAAGTGCAAAAGGGGAAACATTTCCTGAGTTTGTTTGGCTAGCCCTCTGCCAGCGAATACAGGGGCCGGGGGAGGCATATACCCCCTAGCTCTGTTTTTGCTGGCAGAGGCACCGCGGGCCAGTTCTTTGCCGTTTCCAGGCCAGCCCTGCGGACCCGATCTAAGCACCCCACGGGCTGGATCCAGCCCAGGCAGGGGCCTTGAGTTTGACACCCCTGGCATAGAGGAACTGAGCGGCCTGAGAGAGTCTTCTCAGTTTTCCTTTTTGCGTGAGCGTGTGTGCGTGGGGTTAAAATGTTTGCTATCGTGTTGCTGCGTTCGCTGTCTTCATTCTGTGGCTCAACTGTCCCCCTGTCCCCAGGCCTTTTGTGGAAGCCAGAGCAGCCGTCCATGGCATGAATATGCAGCAGGAGATCGGGTTCCAAAAGGACAGCCAGGGAGAGTACAAATCCTCGCAGTGCATCCACATGGATTGTCTTCGGTAAGGGTTGCGGCTTCTCAAGCGAATGGGGGCTTTCCTGGAGGTCTGCCGGTGGGGGAAAGGCCCCGCCCTCTGGCACGGTGGCTATTCTAGGGAATAAGAAATAATCACAATAATAAAAAAAAACTCTCTATGGTCCCCTCCATCCTTTGGGTTGTGTTTCACTTTGCCATCCGTCGGCGAGCACCTGGGCGTTGTTCTTTTGACCACAAATTCTCCAGAAGTTGTGAATGCTCCAACCCTGGAAGGTTTTAAGAAGAGATTGGATGACCCATTTGTCTGGAATGGTCAAGGGCAGGGGTCTTCAAACTTGACGGCTTTAAGACTTGGGGACTTCAACTGCCAGAATTCCTCCTCCTCCAGCCCTGTCAGCTCAGGAATTCTGGGAGTTGAAGTCCACCGGTCTTAAACTTGGCCAAGTTTGAAGATCCTTGGTATAGGGTTTCCTGCCTGAGTAGGGGTTGGACTAGAAGACCTCCAAGGCCCTGTCCAACTGTCTATTCTATTCTATTCTATTCTATTCTATTCTATTCTATTCTATTCTATTCTATTCTATTCTATTCTATTCTATTCTATTCTATAAGCTTCTATATAAATTTGGGAGGGGGGACTATTGAGTTTATTGCTATTGCCATGGGGTGGGAATGGGTGGGATGGAGAGACTGGTGCCTTATCTTCTGTTTAACTCCAAAACGAAGCTTGGCTTGGTCCTTCTGCTTCCCCTCCAGGAAGCCCTCCCCCCTTTGCCCCCCCCCCCATGCCAGCTTCGTGACCTCCCCTGATTTACTCACCGCTCGATTTCGGTGCCCCAATTCCTCTCGGCAGGTGGGTGAAGAGAGACAGTTACCTCCCAGTGGGCAGCCACAACTTAAAAGCAGCAGCCAAAGCGAAGCTGGGTTACGATCCCGTAGAGCTAGACCCTGAAGAGATGTGTCGAATGGCCACCGAAGAGCCTCAGGTATTTCCATCCCAGGGCGAGGTTCCCCTGGCTAGATACCTTTTGGTTTGATTTGGCGGGTTTTTCCCCCCCAAAAAAAGTTTTAATCTATATATATATATAAAGGCGAAAGACCCCTCATGCATCATCACAAAATCTCCAGAATTGTAAAGCCTACAAACTTGAAATCTGGCACCTATGTTCCTCTTGGCTTCTAGGGTCTCACTAAGAAAGGATTTTTTGAAATGACCATCAGAGCTATTAGTATTTCCTATATTATTATTATTATTATTATTATTATTATTATTATTATTATTATTATTAACACGCTCTGACATTAAGGAGTTCTACTCCCCCTCCCCACCTGGAAAGAAATCTCTTCCAAATGCAAAACACAAGCAGAGGAGTTTCAGTTTTAGTTACAGAGCACCAAGCAGCTTTAGTACAGAACAGTTGAGCTAAGCCACGCCCAGGCTCCTTGCTGTGTCCTTGCTCTCACAGCAAATACCGTTTCACTTTCCAAACAGCCCTCAACTCTCTCACACACTGACAGGACGCTAGCCAGATGAATACCGATGGATGCTGGTAGGCAGAGGCAGAATTTCCCACCCCCCTGTATGTTCCTCCCTTTAAAACTAAGCCCCATCGCGTAGTTTCCTAGCGAAGCACAGGTGTCGAGCTAGTAATGACAACAGAAGAGAACACACCAAACTCAAAAGGAAAGGAAACTGAGCTGAGCGCTCTCCATGCCCCCTGAAAAAAATCCAGGATGCTGGTTTGCAGCGCCCGAGTATTAAACTCGTCTCTTGATTCTTCCAGACTTTGGCCACCTACTCAGTGTCAGATGCTGTTGCCACCTACTACATGTACATGAAGTATGTCCACCCTTTCATCTTTGCCTTGTGTACAATCATTCCGATGGAGCCAGACGAGGTGAGCAACGGGGCGTTTATTCCTCTTTTGCCTTGAGGGGCCTCTCTCACTAAGTGTTGTACCTGTTAGGATTTATGAGGACTGTGTTTTGACTAGGATCCTGATTTATCACTTACTGCTTGTAGGGACACCTAGAGCTGGCCCTATGCTTTTACCAAGCACACACACGCACACACAAATAATCTGTTTATTCCCCAAACCGCCTTGTTGTACAGGCTGTGTTGCTTGGCCTCACAACGGTGATTTTTCCACACACGGAAGTTACATGCACTCCGTCCCTTGGCGCTGAGAAAATAAATCTCGAAAAATACTAGGGAACAGCCGCGCGGCATAATCGGGGCCAGATTCTGTGAGCTGTGGATCCCGCCTTCTTTCCAGCCTGTCCACTTTTCCTCCCTCCTGCAGGTACTGCGGAAAGGCTCGGGGACCTTATGCGAGGCGCTGCTCATGGTCCAGGCCTATCATGCCAACATCATCTTCCCCAACAAGCAAGAGCAGGAATTCAACAAGCTTACAGAGGATGGGCACGTGCTCGACTCGGAGACCTACATCGGGGGCCACGTGGAGGCCTTGGAGTCTGGCGTCTTTCGTAGCGATATCCCCTGCCGCTTTAAAATGGTACGAACCGTCAGTGGAAAAGGTCTCTGGAAGCGTCTCCGGTCCCAAAGGTGCTTCCACCCCCGACCCCCAAGAGGCAACTGGACTTTTCTGGGTTTTTTTTTCCTTTGAAGAGGTTTCGCTTCTTAACCAAGAAGCTTCTTCAGCTCTGTGAAATTAATCTTGCCTTATTCAGAGCCGAAGAAGCTTCTTGGAGGAGAAGCAAAAAAAAAAAAAACGACTCACAAAACGGCCAGTGAGCCAACGGCAGCCCAACCAAAGAACCTCTAAGACCACCACCACCAACACTGACAGGACAAGCCACCAGAATATAAACTGACAGCAAAACCCGCTACTTAACTAGCACTGATGATGTTACCTAGTTGGGTCATGAAACGCCTGCAAGAAAACAAGCCAGCTCAGAGAGCATCAGGACCCCACACACCACCACCACCTCCTCCTCCTCCTCCTCCTCCTCCTCCTCCGTGCAAACCCCACTCCCTTGTAGCACTGATGGTATTACTTAGTTGAGTCATGAAATGTCTGCGAGAAAACCACCAAGCTCAGAGCACCAAGGACCCCATAGTCGTCATTTTTTTCTCCCCCACTTCACAAACCCCACTCTCTTGTAGCACTGATGATGTTACCTAGTTGGGTCATGAAACGCCAGCTCAGAGAGCCGCCCAGGACCCCTCAAATCCGTCCCGAGCTACAGATATTCTCCTTCGCATTTCTGTTGCGCAGATATTTGCTCACTGTTTCGGGGGCACTTGTGGGTTTTAACCGAACTGGAATGCTAAGTTCCTCTCCTGGGTCTTCTTCAGAATCCGGCTGCCTTTGACTTCCTTCTGCAGCGTGTGGAGAAGACGCTCCGCCATGCCATCGAGGAAGAGGAGGGGATTCCCATAGAGCAGGTCACCAATTTCCAAGAGGTAAACCTTCCATGCCAAGGAAAACCGAGATGGACACGAGGCAACGGCAGGGCCTTGTATCTAGTTGTCCTGGTGTGCAGGGCTCTATAGCGTCGTTTTGAGGGAAGGAGTTGAAACAGTTTAGGTCCAGGATGTGAGGGGTCTGTAGATATTTGCACAACCCTCTTTTTGACTCAGGCAGCATACAGGTCCTCCGTGAAAGGCAGGTTGGTAACCATGGTTTTTTTTGCAGTCCTAATTATCCCCTGAAGTCTGCCCTGTTGGGTTGCAGAACCAAACCAGACAGTGATAGAAGTGCAGATGACTGACTCAATAATTCCTCTGTAGAACTGTTTGGTATACTATTTCTTCCTCGATTGTTACTCCTGCTTATGTGGATTGTTGGTTAATAGGCACGTGATGAGGAAGGGAGTGCCATTCCTTTTTTTTCTTTTGCCAGCTTTGACAGTTGCCTCCTCAAAGACAAACATTGGTCCATGGACGAGCAACCTAGGTCCCTGTCTACAGTTTGCTTGCTGTGTCCTTGAATGATGTGTATTATTTGAAATACAGCTCAGCAAAACGTCGCTGATCCTGCAAAAGCTTTCCTTTTCCCGTGACTTCCTTTAAACCTCTGTCCTTTGCAAACAGATCTGTGAAAAGATCAAAGTCAAGTTGAACTCCCTGAAGGATGTTCCCAACAGAATTGAATGTCCCCTCATTTACCATCTCGATGTGGGAGCCATGTATCCAAATATCATCTTAACCAATAGGCTGCAGGTGAACATGGTTTCCTTGGTAGCTTGTGGAGGTTGGGGAATTAAGGTTTTAATTCTCTTGTTTTGGGGTGGGGTGCTCATTTGGGTTCACGGTGGGGCGGTCGGCCAAGGAAAACAGGGTCCCAGCAATTAGGTGTCACCTCGTAGTCCAAGATCAGAATGAGACTTTAAAATTCTTTAAAAGTAAGAGTTGAATCTGTTTCGTAATTGATGAGGTGAGCAGTCTGTACCCTGAATGGCTCTAGGAGAAATACACACTATAGTGGCCTCTTTGTGGAAGGAAGGCTGGTTCAGGTGGTTTTTATCTGCAGTCCTAACTATCCATTGAACTCTGTACCTGATCTAATGTAAGCCGTCCGGTGATCTTAGTATAAGTAATGGTGGCATTTTATTGCTCTGCTTACGTGCAGAGAATCTAAAGAGCAAGGAATAAAGAGCCCATGCTGCACAGCCGTATCCTCTCTTCATTCAAATTCAGAGATGAGAATGTCTTTACTTAGCTTTTTATTTCCAAAGCTATTGGCAATTTGGGTTCCCACCAGATGTCAGTGCATTAAAACATTGCTCTGGAAAGTAGTCTCACATTCATTCTTCTCTCCTCATGTCCAGTTCAGTACTGAATTTTGTCTTCCATGTTCCTTTAACCACAGAGGCCTAATATTATTGATCTAAATGACCGTAAAGATAAGATCCAGCTTGCCCAGTGCACTAACTACTCTTCTCTATATAAGAAGGGGCGTAGAATAACTTTATTGCCACCTTGAATGTACTCTTAACCAGCATACATTAAAATGAAATTTCGTCGCATACAGCTCCCAAAGGGTCACCACCTCCAATATACACTAAATAAGCATGACAAAATAAATAAGTACAAAATGATGAATGTACCCACATGGCTTTTGTCGTGAATGCTTTCTTCCCCACCAGCCCTCGGCTATCGTGGATGAGGCAACCTGTGCTGCTTGTGACTTCAACAAGCCAGGGGCCAGCTGTCAGCGGAAAATGACTTGGCAGTGGAGGGGAGAATTCAGTGAGTCTTAATGTCCGTTGGCTCGAGCATAGCTCTTGTAGTCCGTATTCTCCAAGCCTGACTCTTCAGAAGTATTCTTAGTTCTGGTTTTTCCTTCCCATCGGCAGTGCCAGCAAGCCGGAGCGAGTTCCACCGCATCCAGCAACAATTGGAATCGGAGAAGTTTCCTGCCGTTTTCCCAGATGGGCCTCCCCGGGCCTTCCATGAACTGCCTCGAGAAGATCAAGCTAAATACGAGAAGAAGCGATTAGCTGGTGAGAACAAAAACCTTCCTTGGTTCCAGTGCGAGAAATTCTGAACGTGGCTTTCCACGTTTTAAGTTCTAACTGGAGTCTGATATTGAGCGAGGACTCAGATGAGGGGCCGGGAGCATTAGGGAGTGGAATGCTGCCCTCAGAGATTTTGGGGGCTGGCAGCAGTGATGAGGTTCCCGACGGCTCAGGACTGCTTGCAGGAAAGAGCAGCTGCAGCAGCATGGGCGACTCGGGAGTAAGGCTGCAAGGTAATGGCCCCTCCTTCAAGAAGATAAAAGCCAGCTGTGAATCGGACGTTCTTTGCAGAAAGCAAAGACGTTTTGAAACTCAGCCTCGTGGACATTGCAGTATCTTAGTTGGCATTTGAAGACTCTTGCATTGTAAAATATTTCTTATCTGTTATTCTTGGCAGCCTTGCATGGTTTTGGCGAAGCTCATGCTTCTCAAAGTTAATTAGTTTGCAGCAGCCTTTTAACCGGGGATTTGTAAGAATCATTAAAAGAATCATTTCTGTTCCCTTTGGTTCGTGTTTGTTTTATTGGAGAAGGGTTTGGGTCAAGACATTAACTGAACTGTTGTAAGTCAAGGACTACCTGTAGGTGTATGGGGAAGATCTGGAATGATTTCCTGGAAAAGTCTCTGTATTTGGGGTTAAAATACCTCCGTTTCTTTGGAGCAGATTATTGTCGGAAAGCTTACAAGAAGATCCATGTGACAAAAGTGGAGGAACGTGTCACTACGATTTGTCAGCGAGAAAACTCCTTCTATGTAGACACAGTTCGAGCTTTTCGAGATCGTCGCTATGAGTTTAAAGGATTACACAAGGTACAGTTGGGGTATTTGGGTTGTAGCCTATAAAGAATCAAGAAAGAAAGAAAGAAAAAGTTAACAGCAAACTATTTTCATATTATTGCCAGAAATCTACACAGACATGACTGTGAAGCAACCAGGAATCAACCCAGTTTAATCAACTGAGTGTAACATGCAGTAGTTCTGTTACAAATCGTTTGTTTTTCTACCGTCCCAGAACTGCCTGAAGTAAACACTTCCTGCCTTTCTAGGAATTTGGAGTTCTTGGCTACGGAAGATGCCTGAACAAAATAAATTACATGAATAAATCATCAGCCCTAAACAGGCTGTTGCTTTCTATCTCAAATCCCCCTCTGAGCTTTCCAAGATGGAGGCTCTGGCTGCCTGTAAGGACCGTCCGTCTTCCCTGTCTTCCCCCGTTCCAGGTGTGGAAGAAGAAGCTGGCAGCTGCCACCGAAATGGCCGATGCCTCGGAAGTGAAGCGTTGCAAGAACATGGAGATCTTGTACGACTCCTTGCAGCTGGCACACAAGTGCATCCTCAACTCCTTCTATGGCTACGTCATGCGCAAAGGGTGAGCGTAAAAACAGAACGGGAGGGACATGGCTAGCGGGGGCCTCCCGAAGGTGCTTTTTCCGGGAGGCCACTGGACGTGCTTGGTTTTTCTTTAAGACGTTTCGCTTCTCGTCCTAGCAGCTTCTTCAGCTCTGCCTGGATGATGAGGAAGGGAAGGATTGATACTCCTTGCAGACAGAGCTGGTCATTTGCATCCTTTTAGAGGGTCGTTGAGGCCACTTGGAGGTTTATCTGTGTCCTCGGGGTCCCCTCAGGGTGTGGAGCCTTCTTGGAACTTCTGAAAGGACTGTGTTGTAGACTGGAGATAGATGATATTGTATCCCTCCCCCTCTGTTGAGGGAGGGGTGTTCGGTTTTGACACAGATGGCCCCTTTGACCCCTCTGTCAATGGCCCCTTGAACTGTTTAAGGTTCTAACTTGCGGTCGTGTTGCAAAATTGTGTTCTGAGCTTGCCCACCTTGCCTCAAGCTTCCAAGCATCTCTGGGTCAAATTAATTTATTTTATCACCTGCTGCTCGTCTCCCCAAAGGAAACTCTCGAGTCACGGAGCACTGAAACCTTCCCGGGGTGTTGCAACGCCAGGCCTAGAACCTGGGAACCCGTTCCTACCCGGCGTTTTCTCTCTCTCCTGCGCAGGGCCCGCTGGTACTCTATGGAAATGGCCGGCATTGTGTGCTTCACTGGCGCCAACATCATCACTCAGGCCAGGGAACTGATTGAGCAGATTGGGTGAGTCCTGGAGTGAGCTGAGAATTAGATTAACAGGGATTAACATCCTCCTCCTCCTCCTCCTCCTCCTCCTCTACCACCACCACCACCGGGGAAACTTCGACCCGATCGCTCAGTTTGGAGGCTAACGATGGAGCCCAATTCTCCCAATTCGAAGGGACCCTCGTTGGGCAGGCTGAGGCCAAGGGACAGTCCCGGAACCAGCGAAATCCAGGAGCTGGACAGGCTGTATCTGTCCTCCGTGGGGAAGGGATTGACCTTCTCAAATTGGCCTTGTTAGCCACACTAGATGCCGTTTTAGGACCTCTTTTCAGAGCATGATACCATAAGTCTCTTGAGCATGAAGGATGCCAACGAATGCTTGGTTCTAATGAGAGGCGCCTTTTCACAGCTATTTGGACAGAACATAAAAGAGTTTTCAGAACATACCTGTTAAACCAGGGGTCTCCAACCTTGGCCACTTTAAGCCTGGAGGAC